CTCAGTGGACAGTAACATGAGGAAGAAGAAACATGAGGAAGTAGGCCGTGGAATAGTAATGGGGCTAAAGGAACAAATGAACCAAATGTGGAAGGTAAAGTCCAAAGTGGGTTGAGTGGCAATAAGAGATTACATAAGAGGTCTCTGTCCAGAATGCAGAGTGCAGTCCTGGGAATAGCTAAGATACTGTGCAGAACCCTCAAACTTCCAGGCCTTATTAGGGATACTCTGATATTTGGATTGGATATAAATCTGACACTGATCCAAAAGGCTGGATCGAATATCAGTGACAATGAGTCGATGCACAGTGCAAAGAAAGAAATCCTGCTCTGTGTTATTCTGGGTTTACTTATTCACACAACAGCAGCAGCTAGCAGTAGATCAAATGTAGGATGAAGGAAGCTAAGCACAGAATTTGAGCAGTCTGACCATCTTCAAGTGATGTAAAAAATGTTTGCAAACCTCCAGACAGAAGCTGTTGGTATAGTAGTATATGCATTATGTGTGAAATATCTTCAAAGTGAGCCTGCAGGACTGGAAAGATCTGATAAAGATGTTTGTTTACTTTCACTCTCCTTATACCCACGGCAAAGGTAGTTTATCAGATCAGAACTCGGAAAAAGGTTGGATCGGTCCAGTAGGGATGGACTGAGCCAACTGACAACAACAACAACTTTACTTTATGTATTGGTAAAATCAAGTTCAGATCACATCTTGTTCTCAGATGAGAAACTGTTCTTTGTGTTTCTTGCTGACACCATTTACTACAAACAGAGTCCTCTGGTGATGAGGACTCCTCCCACTAAGCAAAGTGAAAAGAAAATGCCGTGTGGCTCGTGGTACCCCTCAGCCTCATAGTTGATACACCTATGGTGTCAAATTGAAAATCCTATATCATTTCGTTCTCAAATTATCATGTTCATAAACTTTGGTGTTCATGTTGCCTGCCTGGCAGGGTTATGACCAGAGATGAGCAGTAACGCATTACCGTAATCCGATTACTTTTTTCAAGTAACGAGTAGAGTAAGGGATTACATTTCAAAAAAGGTAATTCGATTACTGTTACTTTCCCGTGAGCATGCTGTGTTACTGCGTTACTAAAACCGTGATTTTTTTGTGAGAGTGTCTCATGACAATGACGTAAGCGAGTGCGACGTTCGTGGCAACAGCTGTGTGCAGATCAAAAACGGATAATATATCGAGTGCGGCAGAGAGTTTGAGCATGCAGCGTTTAAAGTGTGGAAGTACTGACCTTACTTTGAGTTTGATTCTGTAAAAAGTGACAAAAACATTAGTGTCCGCTGTTCACTGCATGGGAAGAATACTTCTTTTTACAGCGAAAAGAACCCCCTAAACGTCCGCGCAAGCACCGAGTATGCTGCCACGGGAATGTGAAATTCACAGAGAAACTGCCGGATCCTTCCACTGACATGATGGCTGCGACACACCTGCACCAGGGCAAACCTCCGCCTGCCCCACTCCTGCTAAACAGGTCAAAATAGAGCAACAGGACTGCTGAGCCTTTGATTTTATTTATTTTCTGCTGTGTTTTACGTGCAAGAGTGAGTGTAAACACAAAAAACTATTTTATTTTATTTTTTTATGCTGGAATGTGCAGAATGTTTGTTTAAATGTTAAACAAATTTCTTCCAGTCAGAGAATGTTGCATATAATTTCATTTTTGCTTGATGCATAAAGTTAAAAGATTAAAACTAATAAAACAAGTTTTAAAAAGAGACTTTTCCATTTGATTACATTATATATGATGGATTATTCAGAAAAAGTAGAATTGGGCTGAAAGATCTATCGCTTTATTACCTATTCAGGTTATAAATCATGTTTTTAAAAAGTAACTAAGTAACTAATTACTCTCAAAAATAAGTAATCAGTAAAGTTAAAGGATTACTTTTGGGGGGAAGCTTTTTTCAAGTAACTTGACCAACGCTGGTTATGACATTGCCCCATCAGCCTTTTATTGTTGTCAACCAATGTCAGAGGACAGGTAGCAACTTGCTGAGTGGTAACAAAGTAAAGAAAGTAAGAGCAGAGTCAGACTTTACCTTCTTCTTGAGGGCCTCCAATGATTCAAACTCCAGACGGGCCAGTTTGTCCTGGATGTGTTTGGGAACATCTTGGATGAGGAAGGTCAGAATGAACTTGAAGCCCAGCAGTACATGCTGAAAGCACAGACAGACAATCACATCATAGGGATTAAGAAGTTCAGGGTCAGCGTTTTATTTACATCCTTTTAGTTCCAAACAGAGGAAGGAGAGCATGCTTTGAAAGATACATCAACATAACCTGATTACAGTTTTTAAAGATTGGTGTCCTTCACGGGACACACTTTTGTAAAATGACAGAGGACAGAAGAGGAGAAGGGGAGTGACTGAGTGGACCGTCAGAGTGAGACAGACAGCCCCGGTACGTGTCCTTGAAGCTGAATGAGAATGAAAAAAACCCAGCACAGGCAGCTTTGACTCTGCCTTCTAACAATGACTCTGAAAGGAAACAGTAACCGTCGACACGTTCCCGTTTGGAACAGATCTGACAGCTAGAATGCCAAAATTCTGCAAGGAAGATGATTCAAGGAAAGCTAACAGGACAAAAATGTTATTTTGAGTACAAAAATCGTGTCTGTGTCTATATGACATGATTTTAGAGTAACTTTTGATGAATATGTCCATGGGCCATAATATGAAACTTTCGTGCTACCCAAATATTTTGAGCAGAAAAATTAAAAACATATTTCATGTGCATTGCATATTAGGATACATACAGACCCAACACCCAGAACACTTTGTGCTTGTAAAAGTCTTAACTGGGTCCACAGATCTCAGTTTCTCTCTGTCAGACCTCGAGTAATCAAATACAGCAAACTGCACACTTCTGAATCAGCAGAATATGCGTTTTCCCATAAAGATGATGAAACAAACACACA